GGTGATTCCCGCCACACTCCTGAGTTCCCTGCCTCTGGACCTCAAGGTTGCCTGCCTCTATGCAGAGGGCAATGGAAGGTTCTACAGTCTCCATCACCCCCATTTTCCCACTGAATGGCAGCACAGGAGAAAATGAGAGTTTGGAGAACACCTGGGGAAGGAAAAGGAAGCATGTGACTGTAGAACTGTGGCTTCTGTCTGTCTTTGGTTCCYGGTGCTACATGCTCTCCTTCAGTGGCACTGGTTTCCCCAGATACAGGACTCAGTGTTTCTGGGCCTTCTTTGGCTCTTACTAGCAAGAGGTTATCTCCATCAGGAAAAGGAAGGGATCCCAGTGAAAAGAACAGATCTGAAGGAGTCTATCTGCTCTCCACRTTCCAGTGTCTACTCTAGAAAGACTCCTCAGTAACTCAAGAGAAGCCCTAAAAATGCACAAATGAGTCCCTCTTCCACAAGACCAAACTGACCAACTGGGAGAGAGGGATGTGGTTATATATAAGATCCAGCCACCCTGACTGAATCCCTAATACAATCTGGGACAATGTGAGGTGCTCTCTGCATATTTCTTATTGAAAGATGCTAAAATCATAATACCCATGTTACAGAGGAGGAAACCAAGCAATAAAGAGATGAAATGACAACTGGATCACCCAGCAAGAATGGAAAGAGAAATTCCAAGCCTGGTCCATCAGATTATTTGATGTGAAAAGAAAAACAGATACGTTAAGTCAACTCAAAATTTTTAAGTGAGACTTACTCCTCTTTCTCACCCTCTTTAATCTATAGATATGCCGTCAGCACAGAGATGCCAAATAGAATGGAAATGTTCTGCAGCCAGGTTAAGGAAGGGTACTTAAGTCACTTCTCTGCTGACACAGGAAGCAAGCACTTGGAACTTGAGTTCACATGTGGGCCCTGCCCATTAGAAGACCTGTGGGGCTTTCAGCCAAGTCACTCCAACTCTCTGAGATGCAAACTCCTCTTTTATAAAGAAGGGGCAATGATGTCCATCTCTCAGGGTGGTCCTGAGGGTAAAAGGCTCTGGCAGAAGGCCATGCCCCCCAGCAGAGTCTGCCACCCTGCAGGCACCCRGGAGAGGAGGTTTTCTTCTTGCCTCTAAAAACGCCAGGACTGAAATCTTTGAAAAATCACATCTACTAATAAGAATGAAATCTGTCAAGCACTTTCTACATGCCAAGTCTGATTCTAAGAATTTTCCACGCASAAGCTCACTTCAAGTTCACTCTGCCCTAGGTGATAAGTGCCTACCCCACCTTCACTTTGTGGATGAGGAGGCTGAAGCCCCGAACAGTCAGCTGGCTTGCCCAAGGTCACACAGCTAGTCCAGGGCAAGGGTGGATTCCCCTGTAGGTGATCCACCTGCTGAAACAGAGTTCTAACCACTGCGGTATTCTAGATGCCAGGTGGGATCACAGATGTTAAGGGAGAGCCATGTTAATAGATGAAGTTCATAAAASCTGGGGCAACTCTTTTTGAGAGGTAGAGTGAGAAGTATGAAGCAGGGGCTGCAGATGGGAGGGATGAAGACTCTGGAGGGAAACCAGCAAACTTAATCCATTCCAACAGTTCCAACAAGAGAAAAGACACTGGCCAGCCRAGGTGCTGGGTGGGAGGTAGGAAAATCCCTTTCTCCTTCTGAGTTGGAATTCCAGGGAAGGGGAGTGGGATTGAGGCTGGGAGGCGGGCAACACTTGTGGGGTCCACATTTCACTTATCTAACAGGTTAGGAGAAACTTTAACAAGATTAACTGCTGCTCAGGGCCTCTGCTCCACGGAGCAAATTGAGTCTATTGTTTTCTTTCTCTTTCTTTCAGACTGGAGAGGTGTATGTGTGGGGGGTGCAGATGGGGATGAGGGGCAGGGGTCTGGATCCTGCACTGTGTGATACAAAAGCAAAGGGATGTCAGAAACAAGCCCCCAATCCCAGGCCAACTTGAAAGGGAGCCCACTGTGCCAGCAGGAAGGCGGAAGGCTGCATCTGGGTGGTGGGTCTGTGTGGGGTGAGAGGAGATGGTGTTTACGAGCTATGTACTCTCAGCATGTAGGGGGCAAGGCTGAAAGTCACCGAAGAAGCTACTGAGGAGCCAGCTGTGCCAGCCAGCACCCACCTGGTCCCTCTCTGTGTCTCTCCCCATCTGGCATAAAAGGTGACTGACTAGCTTGGGTAACCTCTGAGGACCCTTCTCACAGAARCCTTAAAGAATTCTTCAATCCTAAAGACCATTCATCATTAGAGGGTGCCCAGCATGCAAGCAGGCACTTTCTAACTTTGTCTTTGTTTTTGCCTGCATAAACCTTCATATATATATTTCCCCCTCTCCTTCCCTTTTAGAAAAATGAAAGGCATGTTTTCCAAGCTTCAGAAGCAAACTGCTCCTTCACTGTTTCCCCTGCCTCTCAGGAGAGGGCCTGAACTGGTGTCCCTAAAGTTTGAACCTGGGTGGAAATAGCACCCCAGGCCAGCAGATCAGGAAGCACCCCAGGCGTGGCAAGGGCTGCCCCTGGCAGATGACAGACCTGGTTAACAGCACCGTAAAATTAGACCTTTATGAAACCCAATTGAATCCTGCAGCAAAGAGTGATGTAAGGCAGCTTGGCCTGACAGCAAGTCAGCAAGCAGCCCTCTGCCCGAAATAGCAGTGTAGTCCCTGCTGAGCGATGACTGCTCTCAAGATAGGTGACCAGGGATTCCTGCGAAAGTGGTGACSCCCAGCCAGAGAAAGCCAGCAGAGGTCAGGCAGCCAACTAGGCACCTGAGGTCCCTGYGCGAGGATGGACTTCCTGCACCCACCTGAGTGTCCAGCCTCTCCCAGCCCCAGCATACACCCAGGAGGGAGCTGGAAAAGCACTTCTGTTTGCTTTTTAATTCAAGGAGAAGCAGGTTCTTTTTCCTCCAACAGTCTGTACCGTGTAGAGGATACTGCAGAAGGAGTCTTTTCTGGCTCTGGGCCAGGTGTTTACACACCGCCAAATCTGGCTCAGACTCAAGTAGGGGAGGGAAAAAAAATCCACCAGAATCCTCCGGAGAAAAGCTCCTAGCTTTCTGGGGCTACACGACAGCAGTACCTTTTTTTTTTTTTTCTCTTTTTGAGAGGAATGTTATTTCCACACATAAAATGGACCAGGCATTTTATACAAGCAATAATAGCTTAACGTCCTCCATCCAATTAAAGTATTTTACTGCAACAATCTTTGTGTGAAAAGAGTGAATGAGTATCAAGAGTACGCATGTGAAGAGACCCTTGTCTGAGTTACAGACACATAAAGCAATCTCCCGTGGAATCCCAGGTGTGTGTGTGTGTGTGTGTGTGTGTGTGTACACACACACATACACACAAATACATATACCCCTTCACTTATGATACCTAAATAACTCTGGGTTCTCCTCTTCAGAGGGGAAATGCTCCAAATCACCAGTAGGACAGGTAAAGGCTCGGAAAAAAACAGGTCTATTTTTTGTTGTTGTTGTTTTTTAAATCACCTCCAAGCAGCAGACTGCTTTTCATATGTATAAAAAAGGAGAAGTACACACCAATCCCTGAATTATCACTGTCGTCATTATTATTTTGAATACTGCCTCTTCTGTTCCATATTATATCCTGCTCTGGTTGACTAGGGGAGCTAAAAGCGAGTGAGCCGGGTTTCCTTCTCCTTTCCCGGGGGAAAAAAGGAAAAATAGCAAGGGATGACGATGACGTCAGTTGTGTGTGTTGGGGGAGTAGTTCTAGCTCTCGTTTGGTAGCTGGAAAGTTCGGGCTTTGAGGGGACATCTTTTTGGTACAGCAGCAGAGTTTGGGTTCCCTGAAGTGGACTTCATGGAAATAGGATCGTCAGCACATTGTCAGAAAAAAGTCCAAGCCAAGGCGAGAAAGAAGCTGACTGTCCGAAGAGCTCTCGGAGCTTCCCCTTCTAAGAAAGTGTGTGTAAGGGGGTGGGATCGCAAAACGCCTCCACACGTTTGCTGGCTTGCAGCGAAGGGGGAACCCCTACTCTCACTTTAAGACGTCCCAGGACATGGCAAGAGTGTGCAGAAAGGGAATCTCCCAGACGAAGAAGCAAAACTTTCATTCTCTCCTCCAGCGCCGCCCCCTCCACCCCCCAGTTTTATTAAAGGCATTTCCACAGATTCATTTAGAGGGGGAAAAATGAATGTTGGCGCATTTCTAAGGTTTGCAACCCTCGCTAAGTGTCCGGTTTCACTATGGGCTTTGCTGCGTAGGGGAGAGAGAGGGAGGGTAAGGAGGGAGAACTCAAATTCATTACGGGCTCATAAAAGTCCCAAATGAGAAAAGCGCCCCATTTCGCAGCGGGGTCTGGAGAAAGCTGGCGGGGTGTGTGTTAGGAAGGTCTCTCCCCAATTCCGAGTGGCAGGCAGCGGGCTTTAAAAGCAAAGATATGGGAGGACAGTGCGTGGGGCTGCGGTGTGTGTTGGGGGACTTGGGGGACAAGGGAGGTGGACCCCAGAGGCAGGTTTCAAACAGAGCGACTTTGGGGCACTTCGAGGACTTCTAAGTCTGGTGATCACAACAACATTGTCCCTGCCAGCTTCCAGGGTGAAGGGGCCAATCCAGGGGGCTACCTCCACCAAAAAGTCAGAGAAATCAAAGGTCCCCTAGCTTCCTTTTACATGCAACCCAATTGGGTCATCCTCCCCTCCCTCTCCAACCCAGACGGAGTCCGTCTGACAATGCAGAGAACTGCTTCCGTGCGCTAGGCTCCCCGGGGACTAGCCCTCCCCGACTCAGGGTCTCCAGCCGCCTGGAACGCTCCCCACTCTGCTCGCGGTGGCTGGGGGGGGGCAGGCAGCGACACCTTCCCCGTGTGCCCATTCCTCAGATGGGACAAAGTGAGGCTCCCGAGGTGGCTGCCCCACAGACACACCCGCAAGCCCCCGACCCGCCCGCCACCCGCGTCCAGGCACCCGCGCGCTTCAAGGGCCACGGGGACGGTGCAGCGCCCGTCTGGGCGCCCTCGCCTACCTGTGATCACCGCCGGGGACCTCTGGCCCCCCTCCGCTCGCAGCCACACTTGCAGCGTGAACGCGTCCCGGGGCAGCTCGAGGTCGGCCCGGAGGCGCAGCTGCTCGCCGCGCCCGCTGAAATAGAGCGCCCGGCTCGGCGGGCTCGGCTCCTCGGCGGCGCCCCTCGCCTCCCGCTGCTGCCGCCGCCGGGGGACGCGCACGGCTTCCCAGGCACCGCCCGGCGGCGGCGGCGGCGGCGGCGGCGGCGAGGCGCGGCGGCCGCGGGCCGCCCGGGTGGCGCAGGTGGCCGGGCCGGCGGCGGGGCGCGGGGGGCGGCCGGCCCGCGGGTCTCTCCGGGCCCGGCGGGGGCGCTCGGCCAGCCCGCAGCCCAGCGCGGCGCTCAGCAGCCCCAGGCGCAGCACCCAACTCCAGAGCCGCATGTCCGACGGTCCCCCCCGCCCCCCCTTCGCCCCTGCACCGCCGCCCGGAGCTGCCAGCTTTGGGAGCTTTCTTCTTGTTCACCCTTCTTGGGCGAGCCCCCCTTCCACTTGCTTTTTTCTTTTCTTTCTCGCTTTCCTCCTCAAGGTGTGTGCTCCACTCCCCCCACCTTTGAAAAATACAGTCCAACTCCTCCTGGTTGGCAATTAATTTCTCTCCCCGCTCCTTTATCTGCCTTATTTCCCCCTCTAACAGCTGGTTACCTTCCTTCTTGTTTTATTTCATTTTATTTTATATGATTTCTCGCTCTAAAAAAAAAAAAAAAAGCTCCTCTAAGACACTGATCCGCTGAATTCCCTCCCCCCCAAAAGATGCTCTAATTTATTTATTTTTTGCGTCCTTTATAACACAAGCCACAGCCCCCTTCTCCCCCCCCCCAGTCCCCCCTCCCCTCCCTCCTTCTTCACAAAATGAAAGGAAAGAGGGGGGAAAAAATCCCTCAGAAGATGAGTAAACAAGCGTAAGCTAATCTGCTCCCGAGCGCTCCACCTTCTCAATTGAATGAGTCCCTGTTAAAACTGCGGGGATCATGACTAATCAATCGGTTTGGAGAGGCCGAGCTACCCAGCCTTCCTCCACTTTGCCATTTGCCTCCTTTCCTTCGCTCCTGCTTCTCCACCCCCCCACCCCTCTTTTTTTTTTTTTTTTTTTTTAAAGAAGACAATCTTAAAGTAATTTAATAAATTCTGTACACACCCCCTTATGGTCCTCCCAGCTCTCCTCATTCCTGTTCAAAACACACATTCCTGTTTTTGTTTTGTTTTGCTTGTTTTTTTTCCCCTTCTTCATCACTCCCCCTCCGCCCGCTCCCCTGATTTTTTTTTTTTTTTTTTCCTCCTGGCCGGAGAAAAACCTATCTCTTCTCTCAGGATCCCCTTTGCACTTTGCTGGTAAACCTCATCCTTTTCCATAGTACATAAAGCGTCTTGAAACTTGATTCTCAAATTTTAAAAATATTCTCTCCATCTTTCTCTTCTCCCTTTTTCTTTCTCTCACCTCTCTCTCCCTCCCTCCTCCTCCTTCCTCTTACACCTCTCTCTCTCTCTCTCTCTCTCTCTCTCTCTCTCTCTCTCTCTCTCTCTCTCTCTCCCTCACCCCCTGTTCCATTCCTCTCTCTTCCTCTTTCCCTTCTCTCTTACCTTCCCAGTCTTTCCTCCCTTTTTCCTTCTCCCTCTCAGAATTTTCCTGAAGTTCCACAGTGTAGTGATGAAGGGCCCCCCTCTTCCCGGAGCCCCAAGAGTGGCCAGTTGTAGCTAACCCTAGTTGTTCCCAAATTTATCATGGAGTCATCAGAAGACAGCAGAGGGAAAGGCATTTTCCAGGACATCTGTCTTTCAGAAGCTGTAGACCCAGCGAAACTGGGTCTCTGAATTCCCCTGAATACTCTTAAAAATATTCTGTTGGTGGTTAAGAATTATTTTAATATTATACAAACAACAAGAGAGCAAAACATTAGTTTACCTAATTTCAACCTAAGCAATTGTGGTTCTCTGTTATTGTCCAAGTCACAGAAAAGGATCTGGCCATTTGCTGTTTTGTAAATCTGTTTTTGAACTGGGACATATATGTAATATTTTTTTTTTCTTTTTCCCCCCTCTTTATGGAACTCAAAAGCTCCCCCTTATGGCAAAACAGTTTCCTTCTTCTTTTTTTTCCCCCTCCAAAGTGTTTAATAAGTCAAAATGAGTTAGCAGTGGTGGATTACAAATTATTAGTTACCAGTCTATCCAAATAATGTAGTGATAAAAATATGCTGTGTGAGGTTTGCATGTGGATAGCATACTGGAAACCTGATGTGAAATTAATGCCACTAATTTGTGACTTTCATCCCTATGGTGCGCCTGTCCTCAGGGCTGCTCCAGATCCTTCCTGAGGTCTGGGATCATTGCTACATGCTTCAGGGAGAGAGAAAACCAGTGGAGAATGTGTGCTGGTAAAAGTATAAAGATTTGTAAGATGAGCAAACGACTCAGACATCCCCTCTATAAAAGCTGGAATGTGCTCTGTGGGAATCATGGAACCATTTTGAAAACAGGAGATCCCAGATTCAGATCTTTCTGGTTTGGGAAGAACTTGCTATGTAATCTTAAGCTAAGAAGTTTGAACTCTAGTTCTCCAGCTATAAAATGAAAAATCACAGTATATTCTAAATGAGTTTTCAGAGGCTGGCTAGAAGAATAAAGGACCCTGGGTGCACAATGATACGGATAAGGAATTCATCTTAGCAAATCTTTGACTTCCTGCTACTCCAGTCACCTATAGAAGTCACAAGGTTGTCATTCAATAAGAAAAGAGCTATGTTGAACTGCATAAATTATGTCATTCAGAATTTCCCTTCCTCTCCAATAGAAGTTGGAACATGAGTACAGATGGACTTCAGTGGTGGCCATTAAGCATTTGGAAACTGTGTATCTTCAAGGGGGCTTTTAAGTCATTGGGTTCAATAGTTTTTAATATTCCTAGACTTTGGGGATTTCAACTCTCCAGCCAGGAGGGAAAACAGACACTCTCACTTCTACTCCAGTCTAACTCCAGCACATACCCGAATCCTGCCCTTGAAGGAGTACTTTCACTTCTCTACCCTTCCATTTCCTTACCTTTCAAATAGGAATATCTACTTCCCAAATTTATTTTGAGGACAGAATATGCTCTGGGACATGATACTCTGAAGTATAGAACTGGCATTTAAATATCATTTATTCCAGTCCTGTCAAGAACAAAGTTCCCTTTAGGTTCTTATAGACAAACAAATATTGAGGAGGACAACTTATGGCGGCAGAAAAAGGAAGGGACGAAACAGCCATATCTTATAAGTCATTGAGCTCTTTGGCCTCATTCCCTAAATATACAGGGAGCATTTGGCAAAGCCTTTTGCTCATTTATTCATTGGCCCTGCAATTATACTGTTTGGCCCCTCCTCTCTTGGAAGCCACTTTTATTCTTTATGTATGTATTTTTGTATTTATTTATTTTTGGTTGAGGTGCAAAGACTTAGATGAATCCTAACCTTTGGCTGGTAACTCTTTCTAATCAATGACTTATGCATAACCTTTTTATGTATTGATGTATAATATAATCTACCATGTGCTGCTATCCTTTTTTTTTTTAAATTGCATCAATTGATCTTTCATGGATTTATTCCCTGTCTTTTCATCATTTGTAGTAGAGGAACAACAATTTGAGAGTCAGGTGATTGCTGGGCAAGGTGGCACACACCTGTAATCCCAGCAGGTCCAGAGGCTGAGGCAGAAGGATTGCAAGTTCAAAGCCAGCCTCAGCAACTTAAGGAGACCTTAAACAACTTAGTGAGATCCTCTCTCAGAATAAAAAATAAAATAAAATGGAAATAAAATGGGCTGGGAATATAGCTCAGTGGTTAAGTGCTACTGGGTTCAATTTTGGGGAAAAAAAGAGAGAGAGAAAGGAATGAAAGAAAAAAAAAAAGAGGTGACTCCCCGTTTAATTCTGATTTGTGTGAGATCTTTGGATCTCACTTTGCTTTTATGTAAAGTGAAAGGGAAGGAATTGAAGATTCCTAAGATCACTTCCAAATCTGAGCTACAATGAAGCCTTTTGAAGTGTGGCAACAGTACCTACCTAGTTGTCCSGATTTGGGTCCCACCCACCCACTTCCACTCCTCCGGGACTTCCTTAAGTTTCTGGGGATTTATTTTTGTTCTTTATTTCTATCTTTTTTACCCTGTTCCTTCATTCTTAGGGTTTAGTTCTTCAACACTTATTTTGTTTGGTAATAAGTGAAAGCAATGTATGTGGCCAGGGAGGGTATAGGATTCTACTGGAAGTTAGAAAAGTAACATAAAAGCAGATCCCTAAAGATTGCGAAGGATAGGAATGGGTGAGGGTGGTTCAATTACACATTTCAGAGTCACCATGACCCGGGTTCCTATGACCTTCTGCAAGATGCTTAATTGTTCTGAGTCTCAGTGACCTTACCATGGAGTTGTCACTGAGATTAAATTCGCAGGCTACATGACAAAGTAGGTGCTCAATAAATGAGCACCCCCATCTTCCTCTCCACATAACTACATTTTATGGCCCTCTGGACTTTTTCTGTCAGCTCTCTTCCAGAGCCAGAGCCCTATTTACTTTACTCCAGGCCAGATAAATTATTCTCATCTCAGAATTCCTAGTGCAAGCATTGTCTGTTAGGCAGAATCTGGAAYTAAATGAGATAGGATCTTGCATTGTTCTTGGTGTCCTGTTTATGTCTTTCTTCCAAGATTAGAAAGCTCCAAAGGCCAATTCAGTCACCTGCTTAGAGAACCTTCCACTAATATCACGGTCCCCCACCAGCCTGATGGGCTCCCCCTTCTGGGCGTTCATAGAACTGCCTCTGAATTTCTATCAGCACATGCCCAAGACAAATCCTCACAGTGAGTTATATATCAACCTAGAACTTGTTTACCTTTATGCAGTGCCAATCATGGTGTTTTAAGCATGTTAGGTTCTGAATAAATACTTAATTTGAACACATTTCCTCCACCTCAAAGTTCCTAGATGAAGCATCTGTGGACATCTGACAGACAGTGATATTCATCTGCTGTTCAAGTGAAGGTCACTAGAAAGAATGTAGCTTTTGGAATAAAACAATTTGGGTTCAAATTCTATTTTTGCGGAATACCAATTCTAATAACAGCTTACATTTACTGAATGTGCAGTAAGTTCCAAGCAATATGTAAGTGCTTTTTATTGGAACAGCCCCTTTGAATCCTTATAAAAAGCCTACAGAGATCTCATTATCATCCCGTTTTACAGGAGTTAAAAAAAATCTGAATTAGAGAGATTAAATAAAGAGTGGAGAATCCAGCCAATCCAGAGTTAGCCCTCTGCACGTTAGATCCAGGAGCAAGAAGAAGTCCCTGAAGCTTTTGAATCTCATTTTCCATTTTTACAGATTATATAGTTATCTGGGAGACTTAATAAGA